TCTCTCTCTCTCTCTCTCTCTCTCTCTCTCTAAAAATAAAACACATTATAAAATGGAGAGGGAGTGCTTGAAATTGCGACAACATTTAAAAAGTACATAATTGTTGCTGCAGGCTTTCGACATTTAGAATTATCTCTGCCCTTGTTAAATTAACCCGTCTGGAAGTGCCGCGGCGGTGAGAAACCGCGACCAGACCGGCTCAGCTACCCGGAGCGGGAGGGGGAGGGGCAAGGGGGCTTTCCTCGGCGCGTCTGACGCCGCCGTGAGAGCCGGGAGGGACAGCTGCCCAAACAGCAAAAGTTTGTTTCCTTCATTTGAAAAGAAGCCTCCCCCCTTGCCTTTGTGCATGTGGCATCCACGCGGAAAAGGAGCTTACGGTGTTGTGAAGTCGGCCCCCGAGTCGCCTCCGCACGCTCCTTCGCCGTGCTGGACTCGCGAGACTCCCCGCGGCCGGCGCGGCGGTTCGCCCTTCTGGCGCCTGGCCCGGGAACTCACCTTATCTGCCGGCGTGTAGGCGTCCTGGTGTCTCCTGCCAACAAAAAAGAAAAGAAATAAATATTAACGATTAGCGAAGCAGGGATCCCCTGATAAAACACTTTCGCGCCTCGACTCATCAAAACTTGGAAGAGTTAGTATTTTTTTTTTCGGGCCCGCTCGCCCTCTTTGCTCTCCCGACGCCTTTTCCAATAAGCCTGGGCCGACGTGTTGCTAAACTCCTTGTCGAGGATTTGGCGCGCTTGTTGCGCAGGATATCGCTTGGATCGCCTGGGGCGTGTCTGCGTGTCTCGCGCGGGGGGCTTATTTGGGGCACCGCCAAAACTTTGTGTGTAGTATGCTTCATACAACGTGGACAAGGGCCATAAAAAGCAAGGCTCGCGGATGGCACGGAGCAGGAGAGAGCATGTTTCTTTTTCGGAAGGAAGGACGTACGGCTAATCACGTATTCTATTCGCATGCCTTCCCCCCCCCCCCTCTCCGTCTTTCTCTCATGCGCACACTCTTCTTCACACACTCTCAGAGTGCCAAATATTATGCCAATTGCGGTGTGGCCTTGGCATACAAAAAGAAAGTGTGACTCCTCAACTAGAGACGACTGTATAGTGGCAGACGCGGAGACGAGGGG